CATAAGGATGTTGGAACTTTGATTTTGTGTTTTCGCTTTGTTATTTCTACAGGTATTCAAAGTGATATGAAAGTCAGCAGAGGAGCAGCAAAATGTTAAATCATTTTATTTAGATAATTATTCATTTATTGCATGTTATTTCTTATTTTCTCTGTTCCAACGTGAACGTCTCTCCTTAGTTGGGATCCTCCAGCTAAGACATTTTTATAGTCTGTCTTTTTGCACTCTAAATTCTTCAGCTATTTAAACATTAAACTTTTTCCAAACATTCTCTCCATAAATATGGGGGAAGCTTTTAAATTATTTACATGCATTGCACTCTTTGAAGGCTAAATATCCACTCCCAGCCCCCTTACTTTCAGCAAGAAACATTACTTAAACTTTAAACAGGTTACACAACATAAGACTATTACAAAATTCTTCAACTTTATATTATATTTCTCTACTTTTACATCACAGTTAAGGTTTTATAGTTTTTTTTAACAGCCCTAAAGTTGATATAACTAACTTCACTTTTTTAATAGAGCTAAATTCCAAACATTGTGCAAGCAAATTCTTTCCATTGTCACACCTTTCGCAATCAATCAAAAAATTCATAGAAAATAGCTTCTTTCATACATTGGGACTTTTTAAGTTTCTTATCAAACAAAACCTTAAATATATCCTTTAGATACTCACAGACACAGATATTCTCATCTTGCTATATGCAGTGAGGACCATGTGCTGACTCCCATTGATGTCCATGGATTTTCAGTCATTTAAAATCCTTTCTATGCCATAACCCGGACAAAAACCCTAAACCTAATCATTGCCATTGCATAGCTCACTCTAACCCTAAGCAAAACTCAATTCAAACAGTATCCCTAAATATAAAGCCTTAAAAAATAGCTTGTGAGGGCCATAAATATACCCTCACTTTACAACAAATACTCCTCAGCTTTATGGTGAAATCGGAAAACTGGTCCTCAGACATAAAACAAAATCAGATTTTAAAAAAATTAAGATCAATTTAATGTTTTTGACTCACTGCTGGTATTTTGGGAACCAGGCAAAATCTTTGTCATAGGAATAGCCTGGTTCAGAAAACAAGTCTTGCAAAACAAAAATGAAATAGTTTGCTTCAAATTAATTGTTAAATGTCTGAAGTGCATTTTCAATGACCCCAACTTCCCCCTGCTACCCTTGCAACCCCCCAAATTAAATCCAGTACAACTACCTGCATGACACCGTATGCTGGACTCTCAGCAAGTATGCCATCAATTCAAAAGTATTTCTGTAGTGGATGCATTATTATTTGCCCTGATGCTGGAAATAACATCAATACCACTCCGTTCTTTAAAAGGGTTGAGGGGATATAGAAAATTGCTGCACAGATTTTGGATTTCATCCTGTTTCCCTCAATTATATTGGAGGTTTCTTGTTTAGGATGTACTGAAATCAGGTATGAATCTAATACATTGAAATCATGGGGCAGCACTTCACCTTTATACAAAAACGCAGCTTCTTTCTTCCCATACAGGAGGCTGGTGAAGCACAAGATAAACTTCATTCCAACTGAGATTTCAGAGCGAATAGCAAAGATAAAGAAGTAAAGGGAGTGAAGCGATGAACTGAGACTGGAAACAGATCAAAGTTCTCTTTGCTGCTCCGTTAACACCAACAAGACCCTTTCAGATTTATCAACTGCTAATGGAGCGTGAAGCCATCGAAAGCAGCAAATCTTTTAGAGTTATCACAGCTCAAGTAAATAATAAAAAAAAAAAAAAAACACAGCTCTTCAGACTGGCTGCTAGTTTCTATACCTGCCAGTGTTTTAGATTTACAGGACTGTACTGCTTTTGATTTGAGATTCAGTTCTTTTGGTAGCATTGTCTTTTGATAGCTCCAATAAATCCAAACCTTTAATGGTTTCCTGTCCCTCAATCAATATTCCCAATTCCTTTAGAAAATCCAGTTTTGGCAGCAGAGGAAGAGAAGCAAATAAAAGTGCAGCAACTGAAAAGGAAAGAACAATTGAACTGAATTTGTAATGTGAATTCACTGGGGGGCTTCTTTTAAACAGTCTTGTTAATTCATAGAATAATAAGTGGAAAAATTAAAAGCTTACAATTATAGGAGTTTTTTGGGCTGTTGAACAATAAACTCATTTTCAACCTTCTGAAATTCACTGTTTTTTATTCAATTACCCCAAAATACAGTATGTTTGCCACCTTCAATAAAGGAGATCAGGATCTATTGCAAAAAGCTAAAACTAAATAGCGTGATCTAAGTCACGTGCTTTGTAGTTTTATCTTTTTGCTGTTGTCATCTACTGCACACCAAAGCGCATGGAAAGAAAAAAAAATGTTTCAATGTGTGCTATTACGCCTTAAATTTCCTGTTCATTTTTTAAAGTAGTCAAACATGTCGAGAATAATGAAAGGTAAAAAAAAAAAGTGAATGTATTATTTAACAGAGAAAGCAACAGCTTTTTAATTAATAATCACAGGTTTATTTTTGCAACTGTGACTGGATTTTTGATGTCTTTTGGAGGTGGCATGTGAAAACTTTTCATCCTCACTATTTGCTCGTTTCTTCCTTGTTAAATTTTCTTCCTGAGCCAAGCACAGAACATTAGTTAATTACAGATGCTAAGTTAGCTGTCTCTGTGAGTGAGAGTGAGCTTGACTTTCTGTCTTTCTGAGTTAGTCCTGTGATTGATTCCGGTACCCTCAATCTTATTGAGTGTCAGCTAAAGGAAATTGATGGATTGGTCTCACTGATGTAATTGCTGCTTGAATTTAAAAATGCTGAATGATGCCATTACGATTTGGTTAAAAAAAACAAATTTGAATCATATCCCTTTTCATACGCTTTATTACTGCAAATGGATTTCAAACATTGGTTGTAGGTTTATATATATATATATATATATATATATATATATATATATATATATATATATATATATATATATATATATATATATATATATATATATAAATATCTTTGTCATTACTTTGTTGCAAAGCACCTGAAGCTAAGAGTATTAAAACCGATGTGCTGTATGCAAACTGCTTATGACACTTGAAAAGATTTGATAGTGACCACCGTCTATAAGAATGTTTCAGGAAACTGGATGAAAAGCAGTTTTATTAATGCAAGTTTATCAATTTAATGTGATCCTAAAACCAAAGTAATTACCTCAGATTTTTTCAATATTTTTTGCAAAGTTTCAGCAGTAGGAACTAGGGATGCACTGATATGAAAATCTCGGCAAAAATCAATATCCGATGACACAGGGCTGGCGTTTCCTCTCTGCTCCAGCTGAACACACAAAATCATTGATGGCATCATTTTTATCCACTCCATTCCCCCTTACGAATCAAAAACACCAACTCGAGGAAACTCATCATCAGCTGTTAATATTGGCCCAGATTTAATTATCGGTCTTTCCTGATGTTGCTACCAATATAATGACACTATGTTGTATGGAAGAGAGAGCAGATGTAATGCAATAATTAAGCTTATTAAAATACATTTAATCGAAAAGTTGTTTTTATGTATTAGATGCTGTCTTACAGGTCTGTTAAGAATTTGACTCTGGACAAATGCTGAACGCCAGTGCAGAGCTTGCTCAGAAATGGCAGCAAGGAAATGTCTGTTTCTGCTCTCATCAATTGAGGCAGACTTTAAAAAGCTGGCTTGGTGTCAATTAGTTTACAAATAAGCAAGGAAATGCAAATATTAAAGGTACGCTTAAATGCTGTTGGAAATACTTTGGTTACAGTGCATGACATGGATGTTTATTTATTCTAATAATTTTTAGTCAGACTGTTTGGGCTTGAGGAAAGAAGCACAATCTTGAAACAAGAAGGTGATCATTACCATTAGTTCTCTTCGAGGCTGATGACGATGCATCACAGAGACCACTGCTCAGTGGAGTCGTCCAGTTTGTCCAAAACTTGCTTTAAATAGTAAAGAATGGCATAAAAATATCTATAGTACCCTGTTCTGGAGCAAAATTAGATAAATAACTACTTTCTAAGGATGATAGAATATGACACAAAGTAAAAGTGATAACTCAGAAGCACAGGGATCAAGAACACTGACAATGAGAGTCTATGGCAAGAATACTATCTCACTGACAACTTACTTTATTTAGTTTTTCATTATTCTGATTCATTTTTAAATAACAATTTGTGAGATAGATATAACAGAACGTAATCTGTAGAGTTTCAAAACGGGATTTCTGTCAGTCTCTATACGTTTTTAGTGTGCTTAATATTTTCTGAGTCCTAGAAATAAAACTATGGCCACAAGATGGCGCTATTTGATACAACAATTGGCGGATCATGATTTGACATCGCCTCCTTCTCTGAAATTAATTAGAATTTTTTTTCAGATATTACTGTATTTATATGAAATATAGACATACATAAATAAAGCTCCGGGCAAATTAAAAACATGTTGCTGAAATTTAAAACAAACATCTTTTAGTAGGCAGATTACAAAAGTTCCTTTGCATTTAAAAAAAAAAAATAGGACTCCTGGGTTCTGGAAAGCAAAGCCCTTTTATTGTCTCTAGATGTGGATCCACTAACCTTTCAGCTGCCAGCTATATGTGAATAATTTTATTTAAGTTTTGAGAATTACATATCAAGAATTATAAGATGCAAAAAAATACTCCAGCCTGACATGCACAGATTTGACCACCCTCATTAGTTAAGTTTTGTATTATAACGGATTTAAAGTGAAACATCCAGACACAGACAATGATATTAAATAAAAAAAAATATTATAGATAAATTAATAAATAGAGGCAAAACTTATTGTTGTGTTTTAAGTCAAATATGTCTTGCTTTTATTTTATTTTTTTTTAATATTTACTCGCTGGTAAATAGGTAAACAGGGCCAGTGTAGGTAAATGGTGAGCTCTAATACCTTATCGGAGCCAGCAGACGTCCCGTTCATCCCCCCCCCCCCCCCCCAGCCCGCTGCTGTCTGGCTTATCAGCGCTGCTGCCACCTCTGCTGCTGGAGGAGGATGCTGCTGATGCTGCTTGATGCTGCAGCGCAGATCCAGCTGAGGATGTCAACATGGAAACGTGGAGGGCAGCTGGAAAGCGCTGCTCAGCCAGGAGCGACTCACCAGAACGCGCGTAAACACCGCTGAGGTTTATCTGGTGCTTTACTTTCATCTCACACAGAACTGCCGTCTGCCTTCCGCTCACTTGGACCTGAAGTCGCCTCTTAAGGGGATTTTATTGACGGTTATCTCTCTTAACTCACCTGACGCGGCGATGTTTCCCTATTAAATGTCAGCGCGGCGCACAGGTGGAGGAGCGCGGATTCCCATCCATCCAAAGTTTGCTGGTGTTTTTCCTGGAAGGAGGGGATGGTGGAGAGGCTGATTGGAGATGGGGATGCTGTGTTGATTCTGGATGGATGCTGCTTGCAAGTTCTTGCCCTTCAAACGGAGCTGCGTTTTCAGATTGGAGACAGATGAGGAGCGCTCAGCGGGGTTCCTTCTTGGTGGAGAAAAGTTTGCGGTGGAGGATGGAAACAGCGCTCCCTGTTTGGTTTCTTGCTGTACATTGAGCTTAGTGATGCGCTCCTACACGTGGGTTTATTAAAGGTCCGAGAGTTCGTGAATGGATGTGTAATTCAGCAGGTTAATGGAGAATGTGTTTCCCATCTGTGGAGCCCTGCTCAGGCTGGAGGGGAGAGCAGCAAACACCCAGATCCGCCCTGGAACCATAGCAGTTTTATTTAAACAGGTAAGTTCATCTTTATCTCCATGCAAAGAAAAACTGTTGCAAAATTAACACAAGTTTTGGAATATTACAATTTATTTAACAGAATAGTTTTCCAGGTTGAAAACCAAAATCAGGTTGCACAAAACAAATAACAAAAAATGCGGTAGAAAAGTTGATAAAGTCATTTATGTATGAATCTGTTTTAGCTGCTTGATTTAAAGAGCTGATGGAATCTAGCATATAAAAGTTTAAGAATTAAAAAAATTATCAAATCAAGAAAAGCTATCAATAATTTATTTATTTATTTTCTTTATCAGTCCTTAAATTTCTCATTTTAAAATTGTATCACTTTTTTCTTCAATTGTCAAAGAAACATTTATAATGTTTTTTTTTATTTATTATCTTTGTATTTATTTTTGTGGCTACTATTTTTTTTTAAATATTAAGTTTTACTTTCTTTTTATTCTCATAGATTGACTTTCTTCATTGATTTGTTTTTTTCTCTTTTGTTTTCCATTTACACATTATCTTTGTTGCACTTCAATATTAATCTATTTAGTTTTATACAGTTGTTTGCAGAAGCAATTTTGCACATAAATAGATTTGAAATGGATCCAACTAAAATCACACCCTGTCTGTGTAGATCTATGTGTTACAATCTACAAATAAAAAGTTAAAAGAATATCTTTTCTTTGCAGATTATCTTATCAGAACTACAGTTTTAACTGAGCCTCTGATTAATGTTTCAGTTTTTCTTTTTCTTTCAGTAACCGCCAAAAATCTCAAAATGCTGAACTGCGGATAGAGAAGTGTCCCACATCCAACTCCCTCAAACCCCTCTCTTTATCATTTTCCTTGTACTCAATTTTGTTCCTTTTCCTCCATCTTTCTTCATCTATTTGCCATCATCTCTCCTCCATAACGTCCAAATTTCTCTCTTCATCCTTTTTTTCTCCCCACACTGAGACACACCACCTCCTCCTCCTTCTTCATCCCGCAGCACACATGCAGGCCAAGAAGCGGTACCTGCTTGTGTCTGTGGTGGTTGGTCTACTTTTCCTCATCTACCTGTGGGGTCTGCAAATTGGGGAGTTCCAGCAGCAGTCATACCATTATCCCCAGATTCCCCAGTATCACCAGTACCACCAGCAGGACTACCAGTACTACTACCAGAGGCAGGAGTTCTACCAGCCCCAGCCCTTGCCCCAGAGACTCCCATCCAGACCTGCAAGACGCTGGCCAGAGCTGATCGAGGTGCTGGAACCGTACCTGGAGGGAGGAGAACAAGAGGTAGAAGGACTCATTTTAAATAAAGAGCAAAAAGAGGCTGATTTAAAACAAGCTTTTAAACAATGACCAAGGTTAAAAATCAAAGCGAAGTTAGTAATTCGTTTTTAACTATAATGCTGTTTTCTCGTATTTTTTTTTCCTATTTTGTCACAATCAAATCTTTTAGCTCATTCAGACAAAAGGTATTTGAGAAATGGCTCTTTATAAAGGGATGAAAAAAATACTCAAAATTATCTGTACCAAAGGTTAACCCCTTTCAACCAGTTAGATTGTGAAGGAGTTTTATGACAAACAATAATGAGCATTTTTCTAACTTTATGGAGGAATTTTGGCCATTTGTTTTTGCCCGGTTATTTTTAATCCCTTCCTTTATAGTTATTAACCCCAAATGTTCTGTTCATGGTCATTTCTCAACATCTCAATCAGATTATATAAAGCTTGTGTTGGTCACTACAAAACCCTCATTTTGTGTTTTGATTCAGTCACAGGTGGGCTTGCTAGTCTACTTTTGATCACTGTCCCACATAAATTCAGATATAACTAAATCCAATGAAAATGCATAATCCTGTCCCCAGACAATTTTTTAAAAATTCAACCAAAATCAGAGATTCATTGTGAAGTGGACTTCACTTGGTTGGCCAAGAGGTCCATGAGCAGAATGCAATAAGCAGGGGTGAAGTCCATGAAAAGAAATTTTATTTGACCGAAAAATCTAAGTACCTAAATTAATGTTATATTTGCTGATAAATAGATGACTAAATAGATACCCAAAGAAGGCAAATGATTATTGCTTGTTATGCTCACGCTAATGACTGACTCTCCAAGGTGGCATGTGTCAGACTTTGATGATTTTTTATTGTTCGCTCAATTATTAATCAGAATACAATGCAGAACAGTGCTTGCTTTGTCATTGTTATAGTTGTAACAGTGACCATTGAGCCCAAAGACGAAAAACTGAGAGTACAAGCGTCTACCGGCAGCAAACTGAAACGCTGTCAGTTTTCACCTCTAGAGTTTATGTCATCCCATTTCTAGGCTCTGAGGTAAATCAAATGCGCTGTCAAAACTAAACATGTAGCTGTGACTAAGACAGCTACATGTTCTAATTTGAACCCAGGAGAAAAATTCTACTGTGGTAGTAAGGTTTCAACCCAAAGACGGCAGCACTAAGATGGTTTTTGTCCAGTTTACACAAAACTGTTAACATTTTGCTCATAACATGTGCATGTCTTAGCCTCAGGTTTAAAAAATTGATGCTTGATTTTCTGCCATTATTCATGTGTTAGTCGGCTACAATAATCTTTCCATATCTTGAACCAACACACTACTATCTCCATGTTTAACTGTGTGTATAATGCTCTTTTTCTGCTTCACACTGGATGTAGCAGTTTGCCGTTCAAAAAAAATCACCTTTTTTTCCTTAGTTCTTAGGGTGTTACCCTCCCACTGTGCTCAGTTGAGGCTTTCGCTTTTGAGCCGCTATTTCTCTGTCTTTTTGCATATATTTTATGATGCACAATGATCTTTATTGCTTTAGGCCCTGTTCTGGGGTTTTCTGTGACCTGAGTCATCAGTGCAGTACAGTGGAGTAATTATGATATGGTAGGATGGGCACTTTTTGCATGATTCCCCACTGTTCCCAGTTTTCTTCATTTGTGGTGAATGGCTCTTCATGGAGTTTTCTGGAATGCTTTATGTGGGGGATTCTTACCTTTTTCTAAATATCAGTGATTTAATTTTACCATTAGGTATTGCTTTTTAAGATCTTTGCTTGCAAAACTGTATGTTGTCAGAAGAGTGATTGCTTGATTTTACCGACTAAACAGTAATCAGCCTCAGGTGCTGCTTGTGAGACTGAACCAAAAATTTTGGATAATCCCAGTAAATTACACCTTTAATAAATATAATGTATTTTCCCATAGATCCAAGTTGGTGTGTATATATTGTTCCTCCTAAAGAAATAATCTCAAAGCTGCTTTTTTTTTGTCTTGGTGTAGTGTTTAAAAATCCCTCTATTCTGGTGCTTGTAAGCATCTATAATAACCCCCCAAAAAAACAACAACAACAAACAAACAAAAAACAAACGAAAAAAATAAAGGAAATCTGAAAGGAAGTAAATGTTTTGATTTGTGAGAGTTCACACCTCTTTATTGTTTTGCTGAACTTATATCCTGTTTCAGTCTCACACCAGGTCTGAGCTTCTAATTAGCACACCTACAGCATCAGGTACACTTCTGGTTTGCATTTCATTTCAAGGTGGAACTCCATGGTCCTCTGAATAAAATATGAGTAAAAGATCTTATATACCTGCATCTGTTTATATGTACCGTATGGGTAACAACACATGCTTCTTGTCCATGGTTAAAATCCAGAATAAGGGTCGACATGTCCTGGAATATCACACCTTATGGTCCAGACATGTCATATTAATCTAATTTGTCTTAAAGAAGGTCTTTAGTGAGTGATACTTGCATTAATTCCCACTGCTTTTTCTTGTAATGTGTTACCCTGGTCAGATATAATCAATTTAGCAATGAAAGAGAAAAAGACTCAACTAATCTAATGCTGCAAGTAATCTTCCATTAATACCTTCCTTCCCTAAATAATGATTTATGAAACATTTACTGTCCCGGTTTTACACAATTTCCTAATGTAATTATCAGATGAACCATATGAATAAATTTGCATATATCTATGTATGCACAAATTATTTATCTAGAAGTTTGAATTAAGAGTGATAAGATTCCCCTTAATTTAAATTTCAGAGCATCTTTCAGTTGGTTTGGGAGCAAAATACGAGCAATATGTGCCAAAAAAAAATGTAAAACAGACTAACAATTTGCACATAATTAAAAGTAAATAAGTACAATTATTAAATCAGAGACTTGTTAAATATATAAGAAACACAAAAACATAATATAATGCCAAAAAAAACACAACTTTTCCTCAGAAATGAACAGGGCTTTTAAGAAAGATTCTGGATTTGAAACTAAAGTAATAGGATAGAAGCTTAACAACCTCTAAGTTTGGACACTGAGGTTCTGATGGAAATTTAAAATGCCTCCATCTACTGTGTGCTGATGTCTTGTGGGGCTGTGTGGTAATTACACGGCTTCAATGATAGGCAAGGTGTCATTAACAGCTTTATATTGATTAGAAGAACTCTATCCCAGATCTCAGAGGCAACCAGTGTAGGGCTGTTAGATCTAAGGAAAGCATTAGATTGATTAATTAACCTGATAAAAAAGTATAACTTTGGTAAAACAACCAAACCAATACAGTGAGGATATTAACCTCCATGCAGAATATTTCCCAGCTGAATTTTAAACACAGAAACGTAAAATGTGCCCTCTCCTTTTTGTCATGCTTCTGATACCTGATGTTCAAGTTTTAATCTTTATATTAATTTTGAAAAGGAGTAAAGTGTAAAAAACCTGTCCAGGGTTACCACCCCACCCCAAGAGGTATAAATAATCATTAGATGATGTTACAAGATAAAACGTATATTATTTTCAGGTCTAAATACAGCATCTAATGATTTAATTATGACTCACCTTTTTACATTCATGTAAAGGTTGGTATTTTAAAAGATACATACAATTTCTATGATTTACCTCAAAAGGCCTGATTAGGTGTTCTTTGTCTTAGTAGTTATTTTACGCTTTAAACTACATCGTTAAGAGGATGCTGCCTAATTTTAGATTGCATAAAGACAATATTTTGTTCAAATCTCAGCAGGGTCCGTAAATGTAAAATACACCTTTCTGCTTAAATGGTCACTCTAATGAACTGATGAAATTGTTGGAAACTATGGCAGAGGTACAGATTTTCATATTGCCAATTAACACATTTAGTTTTGCAATAAATATCTCTCATGGGGAAGATCATTGTCACGGAAGGCTGACTGATTTAATCTTCACTTTAATTAAACACAGACTTCCAAATGAATGTCTTTTGCAAACATGTTGTTTATACCAGCTTGGTATCCGGCCTTCTTGGACTCTGCTTTGTTTTATCGTCCAGGAAAAACGGATATGTAGTTTTTGCAAAAGGGGATGCACAGAATTCTTTGCTTAAAGTCAGATATTATTAATCTCTCAAAATTAATCTCTCAAAGGGTCGCATCTTTTTGTTCTGCTAAAATAAAAAAAATGTCTGATCATTTCCTGATTGTAACTTTAAAGTATTTACTGAATCATTGCAAACTGGATGATTAAAAGAGGATTATGTTGAAAGCTTGATAATTACTAACAACACTTTAAAGAAGTGCGGCAAAACCAGTATACAGCTGCCTGTGTATTGTTTAGTGTACTTACTAAGGGTTCATGACTATATGTTAACAGTTCTTAAAGAAGGAACACCAGCCTGGTATTTCGTAAAAATATATCTATAACATAGATTTTACCTTATGGTTCAACATGGCTCAGAATTGGTCGCCCTGATCAGACAACGAATAGAACTTTTTAACTTGGTTGTCAAACCAAACTTAAGGTGTTTAAGTCTTGATTTAAACCAATAAGATTTTACTGAATGACACTTAAAATCTGTTGTTTTTAATCCTTAAATAAATGTTTGCAAACTAAAAAGGTTTGTGTGAAAACAAAGACTTGAGATGAGTATTCATGCATTTATATCCTCTAGTCTGTATATAAAGTTTTATATGAAACAACAAAAAAGTCCTTGAATGCCTTCAGTTGTTTTTGAAAACCAATAGGAGGAGATCATTTTTTTTTTAAGTCTGCACCAGGTATCTTTTCATATTTAAATTCCTGTCAAATCCTAAGCCCAGCAGGGTCAATATTGTACCTATATAAATGAAAAGTTAAAGCTATATATTCCATTTCAATCCCCAAGGATGTCTGACTACACTTTGTCATTATCAAAGACCAGGTCAAAAAAAACTTGAGGGAAATGGCTCCGTCCAAACTTTTGCTCCTGGACTCTGAAGTGAGCTTCTTTTGATTTATTTTGGATGGAGAGTCTCGACTTATTGACAAAGTATTTGAAAAGATTGTTTTCAAACTTGGCATTCCTTTTATCTACTCTTATTTTCCCTATTACTTAGTTTGACCTTGTACTTTTTAATTGGACTTTATGTAATAATAAATGTTCTGATAAATGCCTCTTTATAGCAAAATGATGACCAGAAAAAAAAAATTCCCTTGAAAATGTTTTCACATATATCCGAAAGAATAGTAGCTCTGAAAATAAACTCAGTTTGAAAATAGAATGTAAATATCCTTTATATAAATATCCTCCTGTGAAAGAATTCACATGAATCAGCAGCAAAGTGATAGGCAAATTAAAGCATGCAGATAAACACAGATGAAAATATATTAAACACAAATCAAGAATAAGAGTCTTTACAATAAGGGCAAACTTGTAATACCAGAGAAAATTGTTGTACATCAGTCTCTCATTGGAGGAGCTCATCAGTTCTGTAACTGATAGATATTAACCTATCTGCAGAGCAGATACTTTAGTCATTCGCTCTTGCACCACCTGCATCAGATTTAGGAGGCATCTTTGGACAGAGTTGGCTTTCATGATGAACTTTACAGACTGCTTCCTTTCAACTGTAGGTAAGATATTGCTCCCACATCAGAAAGGTATGCGGTAGCTACCCCTGCCCTCCAGAAGATCAGTGTTTTGACTTCAGATCATTTTATTGTTCAGATGAACACCCAGAGTCACTGAGGTTCACTACCTCAATGCAAGTGTGGTGCTGGGTCTGCACCTGCAGAAATCTACCTGCTCCATTGTTTTCCCTGCTTTCTTTAGGATATTTTCTGCTGGTTAAACATCATCCTAATTTTATAGAGATTGATAAATGATAAAGGCATTTCTTATGTTTCTTTTTTAAATCTAATTATCCAACCTGTGTTTGTTTGTTAACGCAGGAGGACAGCCCTCAGCTCCATCACCAGCACACCTCTCCTCATGAACGAAGGGCAATCCGAGATATCATCTACAAGAACAAGCGTTGCCGCATGGAAACCTGTTTTGACTTTTCACGTTGTCAGTCGGGCTTCAGGGTTTACATCTACCCTCCGCAGAGAGGGGATGAGATCTCTGAGACCTACCAGAAGATCCTATCCTCCATCAGGGAATCTCGCTTCCACACCACTGACCCCTCCCGAGCCTGTCTGTTCATTCTGGCCGTGGACACATTGGACAGGGATCAGCTCTCAGCTCAGTACGTACAGAACGTCAGATCCCGCATCCACAGCCTGCCAACGTGGAATGATGGCAGGAACCACCTCATATTTAATCTATACTCGGGTACCTGGCCAGACTACTCAGAGGATTTGGGATTTGAAGTGGGCCAATCGATGCTGGCAAAGGCCAGTGCAGATGTGGCCAACTTCAGACCAAACTTTGATATATCCATCCCTCTCTTCTCCAAAGATCACCCACTTAAAGGAGGGTCAACGGGTTATCTAACACTCAATGACGCATCGCCCTCCAGGAAATACCAGCTGGTTTTTAAAGGGAAGCGATACCTGACCGGCATTGGTTCAGAGACAAGAAACGCTCTCTATCACATCCACAACGGGGAAGATATTATTTTACTAACCACATGTAAACATGGCAAAGACTGGGAGAAGCACAAAGACTCCCGCTGTGACCGGGATAATGAAGACTACTCAAAGTAAGACTACTTTTCTTGATCTCTTTCCCTTTTATGATCCCTTTAGCCATTGTCTATGACAAGCATCTGCTCTTCTGAATATGTGACTTAAGTCAACCAGTTTCTGCTTTCTTGTTGACTAGTTTAAGGAACGTGCACCTTTTTTCTCTTGTCTCATTTTTACTAAGTAGACTTGAATTGTCAGTTATGTTGTCTGGAACATAAACAAATCTAAGCTGCACTCGGGGCTGCTTTCATTATAATATGCTTCCTCTTATTTTGATGGAAAGTTTGTGCATCATTGTGTCCCAGCATCAGCATCACTCTCTGTGAATCTCTAAATGCTGGATTTATTTTTTGCATACCCTCCTTCAGAGAGTTTGCAATAGCTGCTTTTTGTGATACCCTACTTCTACAACCAGGCTGGGTGCTTTTTTTGCAAAGAGAAATTGTCATGGGAGCTGGATTTTACTATTGCTGTGCATCTCTGAGACAAAAAGCAATAGGCCTACAGATGTATAAGCATTTTTGCCTTTTTTCTGTAAAGTGTTTTGTATGTGGCGGATGTAGAGCAGCTGCAGAGCAGAGAGGCATCACTGAGAAGCTGTGCTGAAAGATAAAAACATTTAGAGAGAAATGAAAATCAGACGCTCAGAAGAGAAGTTAGGTTTGCAAACTTTCAGCTGTAGTTCACAGCTAAAGAAGCACAACTGCTAGATATAAAACCGAGCACCCCCCCCCCACCCCTGTTTGCACTCTTTGTCCACAAATTGAATTTCCTTTCTTTGTTTAAATTGAGTAAAAAACAAAACACCTGCTGTTGCCAAAAATTGAGTGGTGTGAACCGCTGATTAAAATGAACAATGAATTGGTGCTTTTTGTAGCTTACGGAAATATTGGAACCTTCTTGCTTTAAAAATTTTTTTATTGTTGATTCTGATAGGGTGTAAGGAGTGTGTTCAAAATGTGTTTGTGAGCTGTGTTGTTCAATTCCCATTGTGGAGAGCTGGTCTCCTGCATGTTTTAGTGCTTCCCCTCAGCCTAACCTACCTAACTAAAATGAACTGCCCGTATATCACACCACATTTTTGTTTGGTATCAAAGCATTCTTTGATCGGATAAATTTGCCAGTTCCTCCACAACATTCAATCATGGCAAGCTATTACTCTTTCTCTACACATTTCTCTATATTTTTGTGCCATTATTTCTCTATAGGAAGGCATCAAAGATCTAGATGTTGAGATGCTTGCCTGTTTAATAACACCACTAAGGATATGACACTTTATGTACAATTCAATCTCTCCTAACTTCTCTATCTGATTTTTGTTTTCATGTAAGTTTGCAGTGTGACCACATTGATAAAATCAAAATAACAATTATCTTTGCTGTCAACTCTTAATATATTTGTCATGAGCTAAACATCTGGAAATTCCTTACTGGAAGATGTGAGAGATGTATAATATCGGTGGATCTTAATTCCAAATTACAACCAATACCTACAAATAAAAAACACTACCTTTTTTTTTTTTTTTTATTAGACCTGGTGTATTACGGTTATTTATATGGTCAGAGGAAGGACTTTATACCCAATGTGTGACTGAGCAAAAACCATAAAACAGCATTTTAATTCTTTAAATATAAACATGAAGTAGATTAGCTATTTTAAACCCTGGTGTCATGTATTAGAATCTAGGGTAAGAATAAAAAAGAGTAACTTTCTTTGTCCATTCAGTCCTTATTGATATATGCTTTCCTAAAGTTTCAGGTCAGTTTTCACCTCTGGTATTTTGAAGCGGCACACAAACGGCAGATATGCAGGGAAGTCCAACAGCAGATGGCTCCATTTTGTAACAGAATGGGTCTGGTATAAAAAGTGAAATGACAGGCACCTGTTGAAGTCCGACGCTTTGTATAAAAAACAGCCAAGATAAAAAAGACAGAATTTCCTTGAAGAATCTTCTTAAAATTTTCATCTGATTTTATTCTCCAAAAACAGCAACAACAACAAGTTACATATAACATTACAGTATAAGCATATTTTCACATGAGAAAAATATGGCACAAGTTTGAATAAAAAATTTCACAATTTCAGTGTTTCAGTACAGAAAAGTTGAAGTACGACACTGTTAAATTATTAAAAGTGCATTGACAGAAGCTATTGTTATGTTTTAGTTGTAGGCTTTCATAGAATGGGAAAATTGTTACTAAGGGCAATTTTAAGGCATGGCAAACTTAGTAAAGTGTCTATTAGATTTACTGAAGACTCTTTAATAGACAAGATTCACACCACCAATAGAAAATAAGACTGTCATGAGTGATTTGACAACCAGCACAGTAGGTGGCGGAAGGATCTTTAACTGACTGAAAATTTAAAATAGATGTCAGGCATATTTGCTTTCACCAAATCAAAGAAAATAATATAATGATTATCCATATATTTGTCTCGTTTAACTTTTTTTTTTTAACCTGTCTTAACAAAAACACCCATGGCTTTTTCCAGATGGTCCAAACTATGCAGGAAACTCCTAAAAATAACAATAACAAGCAACGGTGTTAACTTTAAGGGCTTTTTATGGGGAAACTTCTTATAACATCTCAGACCTTTTAGAGACTGATCATCTGGTTAGCTTATCAGAGAGGTAGGTTTTAATTTGAAGAACATAGAATCCTTAGAAACAGGCACCTTTTTCTATGCTGGTATGCTTACTCCTTTAAAGCAGTCATAGAATGATTATATAGGGTATTTGGTGCTGGTCCTTCAGGTCTCTGAATAGGGTGTGTAACGTTGGTTGGACTGAAAATGGCAAACTTGCTGTTCTATGCGCCCTAATGCAGCCTGGTTTAAAGCCCCAGAATGAAACAACATGTTTTCTTCTTTTTATGGTATGCTCATGAATATGTAAATGAGCTGTGTGCTGATTGGTTGGTTTACAATGAGCAAAGTTACTGAGCAAAGACGCATAGCAACAAGCACTCACTTACTGAAACCTCCAGATTGTTGATATGGTAGGGTGACCAGACATCCTCTTTTTCCTGGACGTGTTCTACTTTTCATGCCTAAAAAAACGTCCAGGATTTTGGTCAAATACAGTGCAGCACGTAGTCGAAACACATCGGGCATTCGAACTGAGCTGTCAGCTCCGGGGCTGGTCCTGGAACCCTGTTGGACGGGGGCAGGCAGCCAGCGGGGAACAAAGCGACCGAACCCGACCCGGTGATGCCTGGATAGCCTGGACCCTGTTGGCCCCGTGCTTCTGCCTGGTAAGGCAGGCGGGGGGGAAGAATACCTTCTCCAGGTCGTGTTCCATTCCTTTAAAAAACACAGTGTCCTCCTTTTCTCAAAGGAAACCCAAATCTGGTCACCCTAGATATGCTAGCATTGCTATCAAAAGCTTAGCAACACAATAATACTTTTAAGTTGCGGTTGTGATGGCCTTACGGTCAGAACAGCCCTCGTTTCAGTAAAAGAAGTTTAGCAAATCTTGCTTTGAACTGTCCAAGATTTTGAAAGCTGTCTTTGGTGAAATGTTTAGAGCAAATGAACAGCTGAGCATCAAACTTTGCAGGGATCTTTTGATACACAAAAATAATCCATGCATGTTGAGTCTTCGGATCCTTGGAAAGTCTCCGTGCAGCCTGGAACACTGCATTTACGCCCGTGGTTCTGGCTAATTTTCAATCGAGAAACTGCCTGCTTTGTAATTCTTGTAAACCCAACTGTAGGCTAAACAGCTTAACTGATGTCTTACATTTACCTCTATTCATGTTCTTGGGCCAGGGAACCAGTGGGCTGGTCTGTATGTCAATTTCGGGGTGTGACAAAAGTTCAGGCCAGAACCAAATAAGGAGACATCCATGAGTTGACGTAAATTCGGGGCTTTGTTTGGATTTGCTCGTTTTATGGTGGAAGTTTAGAATTGTGAGATTTGCAGAGAGAGGAGGTGTCGATGGGGTTTGAACTTCTCTGTACGTCCATTTCACCCACTGAACTATCGTTGTTCATTTATGACAATGTAAACTCGGTTTTGCATTCTATGACCACTTTAGTCTGACCTTTTTTATGTCTACAAAAAGCTTTTGTAATTTTTTTTCTGGTCTCTTTATCTATATAATATATTCTAAAAATTAACTTGGATTACGAAAATTACTTTGCAAAAAATGTGTTCCACCTTACAAATGTATGAAGTATTTCATAAATGAGTTCTTTTTGTACAGGAATGTGAAGAAAAAGAGCAGCTTTTCCCCAGTTTGTTTGTATTGTACTGTAATATTTTTTTTTTACATTTCTCAAACTTGATATATAAAACATGCTTACAAGTGAAGTGCATAAAGTAAATGATTGATGCATCATGTACGTATGAATTAAATTTCTTAAGATAAACAAGAAAAAAACAAGCAGCTCAGCTTGTACAGAGTTTAATGGCTGTCTTTTCTGTGTCTGAGACAGATAAATTGACAGAGCAAAATGATCATTAATGTTTTAATCTCATCTGAATGTGGGAGCCTGTTTTCAAAAGCTTTCAACAGAGTTGGGTTTAAAATTTTCTTCAGCGAGTTCTAATTTAGCCTCCTGCTGTGTCATGTTATTGCTTTATTATTGTAATTTTTAAAATGATGGTCTTTCTCTCCAAATGTTTCAATTTTACTTATTTAATTTATGCTTTCATTTTGTTTTAGTGAATTATACTTTCATTGTTCAGTCAACCTCTGCTGCTTGTAAATGTTCATTGTAAACAGAGGTAACCGTAATGCAAAAGGAAAAATCTACTGCTGACTAAATTATAAACTAACCAAAAGGGTCTGAGAGCTACAACAGTTGATTACAATGAATACTGTGCAAGTGGGATTTTTTGGTTGGAGAAAATTAACAAGTTTGCATGGCTACTATGGAATAACTACAGAACAGATTTATAACGGAACCTTTAGTTTGTAAAATCTTTGAGTATAAATTCATTTTTTTTTTACAAGATCATGCATACATTTTTCTAAACTAGCTTGATATAAACATGTTTTTGATTCAGCAAA